TCAGTGACTCCTCTAACATATGGCAGTACAGCAGGTACACGCTCGACTGTGGCCGGCTTCACTCGTTCACTATGACGTAGGCGCGGGACACGAAGCTTGTTGTCATGCAAAACTTGTTTGACATGGTGGAGCTCGGCAGCCAGGTGTTTACTGTCACAGATCCCTCGTGCTCTCTGAAACAAAGATTTACCCACGGTAGCTAACTGTGAAGGACGGTGGTGAGAATCACCGTTTAAATATCTATCTGTATGGGTCTTTTTTCTATACACAGTATGGCTCAAGGTGTTATCAGGATTCCGAATTACTAACACATCTAGAAAAGCTAAGGAATTGTTTGCCTCTAACTCCATTGTGAACTGAATTTTAGAATTTATAGAGTTAAGATGGTCTAAAAATGCAGTTACTTTATCTAAAGGTAGAATTGTGAAAGTGTCGTCTACGTACCGCTTGTAGAATCTTGGATTTATGGGAGAACTAAGCAGGGCTTTCTCCTCAAAGTCTTCCATGAATATGTCGGCGACAATGGGAGATACAGGTGAGCCCATCGCCACACCATCTACTTGCTTGTAGAACTCCTCCTTCCACAATGGGTAGCCAGATGTAAGTCAGTGTCTGAGTAAAACTGCATATTCTACGGGCAAGTTGTTTTCTTCCAGCCTTCTAGTTACAATTGAGATGCAGTCTTCAACAGGTAAGCATGTAAACAATGACGCATCATCCAGTCAGTCTGCCAGATGTAGGTCTTTAATCTCGCTGACAAAATCTCACCCCAAGCTGTGTATTTTTGGTAACCCATACAATTTTGGTGATTTGGCGCACGTAGGTATTATCCATTTTACGTCCAGATTTAATTTTTCGGAGTGTTTCACGGCGTTAAAGAACATATAGCTGATGTGAAGAATCGACGCTCCGGGAAGTCTGCAGTCTGTGAACACGTACAGGATCGCCCCCGTCACTACATCAGATTTGATAGACTGCAAATCCTCGCTAAAGAACACCGATTCCTTCCAAGGATGATTCGCGAGGCTATTGAAATCAAAAAACATCCTAATTTCAATAGAGAAGATGGCTGGGTGCTACCATCTGCTTGGGATCCTATAATAAATAAAATTAAATCCCAACCCAAGCATACAACTGTAAGACTTCAAGATACCATAAGTTCATACTGTATAGATCGGAACAAAAGTTAAATTTTAATCTATGGTAACCGCGGTTAACTATGACATATGGACGTTGAACATCTCAGTCCCGCCCGTGACCATGAGTGCTGTAAAGCGTTCGAAACGTCGGGCATTTAAAAAGACAAATATACGCGATAGATTCCTTAAAAACTAGTATTATTTCAATGTGTAGTGTTCGCGTGAATATAAGAAAACATCTACATCTATCCTCAATTAAGAATCAAAATGCAGATGCGTTGCCCACCCTGAGGACTAAGATGAAATGCCTCGTTTCCATTTAAAACGGTCTCCGGTTCTCTACACTCACCATACGAAACGTAACAACATTAAGCTACTATTTGATGCTAGTATTCTGTGAGAGCGTGGTACTTCCCGGTTCGAGCCTACCCATTCGTACTGCAACCACAATATAGTTGTGTCATGGCTCTACCTGGGTACCTACTCTGGTTGTAATGTAATGATGGTGATGACACCCAGTTGTGCTTTATTTTGCTGACGGTACCGTTGTAATGTTTTAAAGTCATGAAGTAAAGTGAAAGTTACAGATGTCGCTACAGAGTGATAAAAATGGACCAATTTTTGCAACATTAGGGAATTTTTTGGTGGGTGGAAGAGAAAATATGAATTCTATTCCAATCGCTGTTCTAGAAATAACTTCTTATTTCTTTAAAAGTGTTTGTGAAAGATTTCACTGGTAAAGCAATACTCTTACGTGATTACTGAAGGTCGCTTTAACTGAGATAATGCTCGATCTGATATATGATACCATAATTTCATACTGTATAGATCGGAACAAAAGTTAAATTTTAATCTATGGTAACCGCGGTTAACTATAACATATGGACGTTGAACATCTCAGTCCCGCCCGTGACCATGAGCGCTGTAAAGCGTTCGAAACGTCGGGTATTTAAAAAGTTAAATATACGCGATAAATTCCGTAAAAACTAGTATTATTTCAATGTGTAGTGTTCGCGTAAATATAAGAAATCATTATGTAAGCCTTCGATTGTGTTCACAATGAAACATTAATCAGGAAACTTCAACACTACGGTGTAAGAAATGATGCTCTTAAATTAATTATTTCATATTTAAGTGACAGAACACAAAAAGTTGTTATTAATAGTATGAGTTCTTCCGGGTCGATTGTACAAATGGGCGTGCCTCAGGGCTCAATTCTCGGCCCCTTTTTGTTTCTTGGATATATTAATGACTTACCTTACATAGTAGGGGATAACCATGATATAGTATTATTTGCTGATGATACTTCATTAATTTTCAAATTAAAACGACAGTTATTAAATTACGACGAAGTAAATAATGCTATAGCTAAGTTAGTCAATTGGTTTAATGTTAATAATTTGCATTTTAATGGAACTAAAACTAAACGTATGAAATTCGTAACTCCTAATGTTAAACATGTCAATACGAATGTAATTTTAAATGGGGAGGAACTGAGTCTTGTTGATACCACCATTTTTCTTGGAAACACACGACGCAAACCTTCAATGGCTCCCCCATATATCAAAACTAGCTAGCAGACTTAGTTCTGCAGCATATGCTGTAAAAAAATTAGAACTCTTACCAGTGTTGAAACAGCTAGAATAGTTTACTTTAGTTATTTCCATAGCATTATGTCGTATGGTATTTTGCTATGGAGACACGCGACTGACACTGAAATTATATTTATTTTACGGAAGAGGGCCATTAGAGCAATATATAATTTAAAACCAAAAGAGTCACTGAGACAAAAATTTAAGGAAATTAATATATTAACTCTGGCCTCTCAATACATTTATGAAAATGTAATGTACGTACACAAAAATAAAAGTAGTTATGCGAAAGTAAGTGATATTCATTCTGTAAATACTAGGAGCAGACACAAGCTTGTAGTACCAGTTACTCGACTCCACCGAGTCAGTAATTCATTCTTGGGGCGATGTATACACTTTTACAACAAAATCTCAGAAAATATACAAAATTTGTTATACACAAAGTTCAAAAATGTTATTAAACTAAGTTTGTATAAAAAGGGGTATTATAATATTAAGGAATTTATGGATGATAATAACCCCTGGGAAGGGTGATCGCTACCAAGCTATTTCTAATTTGTCTTGTGTTGTTGATTGTAAACATGATTGTAAGCTATTATTAAAAAAAATAGTCCCGCCTGGTTCTTCCCAGGACAGAGGTTTTTTTGCGAACCAGTGGTAAATTAAAAAAGTGACTTTCAATAAGTATTTTTATAATCTACATTGAATAAAAAAGTTTCTATTTCTATTTCTCATAATCTAGGTAGAAGTCATTATAAAATTGTAACTTTGTCTTTCTTCTTTTTCTTACTCATGAAAGCTGAACATAGGCCTTTCCCAGGATTATGCCATAGCTACCACACCTAGCTGGCGGGTTTCCAAGTTTACATTTTATTTTTAATAGAGAGTTGAGCCAGCATAGGTAAACCTCATATTCTGCCTACACCTTTAGTTGTGTAGTAGTGGTGTAAAAATATCCACTACCCCGTATCGTCCAGAGGGTGTCGTAAGAGGCGGCAGAGGGAAACAAACCAGAAGATGGGTAGCGGCTAGCGGCGTATTCCTAGTAACGACTAGAAAATAAAAAAAAACCTGCGATCCCCAACGCGCCTGCCAATTATGAGGCAATCTCTGGGGAGGCCCTTGTTCAGCAGTGGACTTAAATAGACTGTACCGGTAACGGTAAAGACTGTCATGTTGCAGCGAGGCTGCCCTTTGTCACATCGTAATGGGCGGAGTTGCAGTTGGTTTGCTTAATTCATTTTTTTATAGGATGGGGTGACAAACGAGCACATAGTCCACCTGATGGTAAGTGGTTGCTGTGGCCCATATACACCTACATACATGTATCCTCGATTACGAATCAAAATGCAGATGCGTTGTCACCAGTGAGGATTAAGATGGAAAGCCTTATTTCCAGTAAAAAGGGTCTCCGGTTCTCTACACTTACCATACCAAACCAAAAGCATTAAGCTACTATTTTACGCTGGTGTTCTGTGAGAGCGTGGTCCTTCCCCGGTCGAGGCGGCCCATGCGTGCTACCACTGTACTACTAATATAACCGCAGCAAGGCTCTTTCACTTTATTTTGATGACTTTAACCGACTGTCCCAGAAGGAGGTAATGTTTTTCGTGCGTGGCACGCTCTGTAGCCTAAACTGCGCGAAGGATTTTACCATACGAGAAGTCGTTAGATTCATCTTAATTTTGGCAGTAACAAATAGTATAAATACTCTAAAAGAATTACGACGGACAAGCTAATTGCCTGCGCAGTATTTTATACTGGTTGAACTAGTGGGGGGAATTTTAACGCTTATTAGTTGTCTACCCTCACTTGTAACACTACCACGGTAAATGCGGTAGATAATCTAGGTTTTTAAAATGCTTTGAAAGAAATCTATACTTGTAAACAATATTGAAGTGTCTGTAATATCGAAACAGCTTATTGAACTTGAGGATCTGCCTGGCTGGGATAGTCTTCGGCTCCGCTGAACCGATTCAAATAAAACTTCACGAACCACGGCCATTGCACAAACTTGGAGATTTTTTGAGATATCAAAAAATTGACACCACATTAATGAGATCCTATATAAACGAACCATCAGTAGGGTTCAAATTTAATATCTAAGTTTAGGTTTTTTATAACACGTTACACCCCCACCCAAATACACACACACTAGGATTTTCTCCTATATCGTGGAGGCAGTTTACAAACATTAATCGCACAAGGACAAACATCCTCAAAACTTCAACTAAACAACATTTCTTTAAAAATCTTTCGAATGTTTCAGTAACTAACGGCGACACGGAGTTCAGAGGACGCGAGGAAGATGCGGCAGACACACTCCCGACCGATATGTCCGACTCTTCTGACAGCGAGCCGGACAAACATCTCAAGTACGTCTTTTTATATAGAATAACGGTGACAAATGAGCACAGAGTACCTGATGACATGTGTAGTGAATGCTGTGGCTTATAGACATCTAGATTTCTGTTCGTTTAAGAATCAAAGTACAGATGCGTTGTCACCCCTGAGGACTAAGATGGAATGCCTCGTGTTCAACAAAAAGGGTCTTCGATTCTCTATACTCATCATACGAAACACAGTAACATTGAGCTGTTGTTTCACGCTGGTATTCTGTGAGAGCGTGGTCTTTTCCCCGGTCAAGTCAACCCATTCGTGCCACATAGGGTTGTAGATAGTCGGGATTCGTCTAGATACTCCCGACATTTTTAATGATCCCCAGACTCCCGACAAAACTCAAAATCTCCAGACGAAAAGTTCCACGGAAAGTTAACGTATAGCCTTTGATTTCATAAAAGCTGAAATAGTAATTAGCATGAATTTTGAAGTGAATAGTTTGAATTTTAAACATTTTCTGAATACTACTAAAAGATCCAAATTGGTGGACTCTATCTAGTAGAGTCCAATGCCGAATACATGTGGCAACCTAAAAATTAAGTGTAGGTATCTAATTTTATTTTGTTTAAAGTACTTGTCGTAGCCTCTTAATTAAAAAAATAAACTTTTTATTTTTAATATTTATTCCTCCCGACAACCCCAAAATCCCGACTTTTTTAAAATTTGTCCTGATAGTTTGGTCTACCGATCTGGCAAACCTAGTGCCGCATGACACAGTTGCAGCATGGCTTTACCACGTATAAATACGGCTCTGCTACTACTACTAACGCCTGCACTGAAATGTTTATCTATATCGGCCATGAAAGTCCTCTTCTGGATATAGCTTCCCCTGTTTTAGAGAGGATATGCCTTGATTATCACACTTGGTACCCAAACTTCACAAACTTTACGTGGTAGAGACACGCTTCAGCTATACTATGTAGCACGAATGCGTGGACTCAACCGGGGAAGAGATCGAGATCGAGGAAATCGTCGCAGCGAATCCATAGTACTCAGTATATTTATTGTTTGTGATAGCGCTCCAAAATTTCGTCCCGGGAGTATCGTAAGACTCGACTATGGGACTAGAATTGCAGAAAGATATTTTGGACTTCTATAATTAATACATAACAATTTAATAACAACCGTAATTAAGAGCGGGTTTGCTTCAGTAGCGGCGACGTGGAGAAGTGCACATCTACACACGAGGGCAAGACGTTCCTCAGCCAGGAGTTCCCCTTTAACATCGACCAGCTCTTCACCATGATCTTCACCAACTCAGAGTTCAATCTGGAGCTGTTAACGGCCCGTGAGACCACGGACTACACTCAAGTAATGTTTAGATATTTTCAATTTAGAATTAATTGTATAAATAATCCTATATATTCTAAGATATAATATTATTAACGGCCTCCAAACCGAATTACGATTACGGCGACCAGTCAGACAATGGAGACTAGCCATCTCAGCAGGACAGGATTACAGCCACGAGTTTGTATGCGCAAGCACAGGTGCACTCTCTATTTTCCCTCAGTCTTATAGACAAATGGAACGGAAATCTGATACGACCTGTGAGAGATCATGTACAGGACCAACGGCTTTAAGTGGTTTCCGAAGCACGGGGGTAAAACACTACTAACTTTTGAATTGGGCAGTTTGGGTAGACTAGTCGCACCCAGCCTCTGTTTAATTTGAGTTTGCCGTCCAAATAGACTAGTCTCCAATTAGGTGGTTAACAGACTAGTCGCACCCAGCTAGAGGTTTGCACCGGAGGATCACCGGTGATTTACCCGGTAAAAGTAATCGGATTGAAATAATCTGAGATTAACCGATGAAACTCCGGTGATCGTATTAAAACTTAAAATAATCTTTTATAATATAATAAACATTACAAAAAATAAAAGAAAGCTTCATTAAACAATATTTTTAATTGTTTAACTACATTTATTACATCTATTTACTAAATTGCTTCTTTCGAATGAGATTATTTCTGTCATTAGCTCAAAGCGCTCTTGTCCGTTTATGTGATTAATTTGCTACTAGCTTTCCAAGGAATGTTAATATTGATAAACAGTATAAACTGCACTAAGCACCTCCTATAATGAGCCCAGAAAAAGAAAACATATTTAAAGGTATGGTGGTTTTGTATGTGCAAGAAACTCAAATGATAGGGGGACACCTATACCCAACATCTAGTTTAATAATACCATAGAAATATAAAAAACAGAAACACTTCTTTCTTATATCTGTTTATAATACCAATTATTTATGGGCTGTTCGATAATATTCAAAGTTCGGGCCCCAGAATCTCTACAACGGTTGGTGAAATATTTATGCAAACATTGAAAAAAAGTATGAACGATCGCTTATTAGATTACGAATCTAGAACTGTTTGCCGAATTTCCACCATACTGTGTCCCATTTTCAGAAATTGCTTTAGACAACTGAAATATAAATAAGCTGTTAAAGAAGCTGTAAAAGCAGAAATTAACAACATTTTCCGAGTCAAAAAGGTACCTCGAAGTACAGAAGAAATAGTCACGTTAAGTGAGACAAGTACGAGCGAAATAGGTTGCCCGGATTTGCTAGGATTTCTAAAAAAGAATACCAATAATGCAACCTGCATTTTCAGAAACACAATTTCCAGAAAAATTTCAAAACTGGGATGATGTGGTGCAATTTTGGATAATTAGTAGACATTTAAAACCTTTGGACGAAATAGCTTTAAAAAACTACTCATGTAACGGAAGTGTCATAACGGAAGCAGAAATAGAAACAGAAGTCAAAAGTGAATTTTAGCAGAAACTGAAACGGAAACGGTTGCGGAAGGGGAATTGTAAATTTTAAGTAAAAAGTACAATTTATGACAAATATAATTTTTTATTAAATTAACGTTTAAAATAAAGTAGCGGTAAGTTATATTTTATGACTTAGAAATCTGTTTCGGTGTTCTTCATGTATAAGACTAGCTTCAGTAAATAATTGCTCGCTGGTGACGCTGCTTTGAGGAACTGTTAAATATTGGCGAACTAGCGGCAGAAGATTACGATATTTGTGTGCGTTTCATTTCCCCCACATACTCCTAAAGGTAGATTACGTCTATGAAAGAGAGTGTCACTCTTGTTACTGGTGAAACATGGATTGTAACATTTGTTATGACGAATTTATCATTAATGATGACGTAGGTTGGACATCATATTGTTTTTTTAAATCATAATACAATCTATTACAACATACATGGTACATTTGTTTCCTAGGGAATCGTGTTGTCAAGTCATTTGAACAAGTAGCTCTATTCTCCGGTGATCACCGGTGAATTCACGGGAGACTGCCAAATAACCGGTGAATTCAATCGGTTGTCAAAATTCCGCTCCGGTGCAAACCTCTACACCCAGCCTTTCTTTATATTGAGGTTGCGGTCCTGTGTGTACCTGGTGAGTTAAATTCGTGTGTGATCCCACAGGAGCCGTGGCAGGCGTCTGGAGGACGCAAGGCACGACGCGTCAGTTATACGCTGGGGTTGGCTTCAGGGCTCGTAGGTCCCAAAAAAGTGCGCGTCACAGAGACTCAGGTGAGTACTTTTCCGCTCGTATATCACTACCCTCTCTTTTATTTACTAAAGTGAAAACTTTAGAACCGTTGTAATTCGAAACTCGATGAAACGAGAAAGCGATACTTAGAAGAAACACGTATACATCTATAGGGTTTGACCTGCGAGAGAATTAAATAGAATATTATATTAAATGAGTCGTTTTTAGGCCATCTAGCGTCTATTTTACGTACCATCACTTGAAAATCAATGAATTTTGTTCGATAAAATGACTTCACTTCTAGAATGAAGTACACGGTGCTGCTATTGCGTAAAGCTACTTTACTTGAAAGAAAATATTCTTTTGATTTGTTACATTAAATTCACTCTAAAAATCAAAATTCAATTTTTTTATTTACCTTATCTACATTTATTTGATAAAAGCATACTATTGTATTCTATTTTATGCCTGTACTACTGCCCACATTATTTTTTATTTCATTTCAAAAAGCATATTTTGCCTAACTAGACCTATCTACTAATAATAATATAATAATATGCCCAATTATATAAAGAAAATAAATAATATACAATACTTTGAAAATCATTAAAAATCGTTAATTGATAAATCTTACTATGCTGTTAATAAATATTGTTGCATGAATAAGTCAACTAGCGCCATCTAGTGTCAGGAACGAGAGCGAGGGGGAGCTTTGCAGTAAATGACATCACAAATCTTTCGACCGACAGCGCCACCCAAAGAACTAAGTTTCTGGAAAATCTACACTCTAATACTCATTACCTGGCGCGCATTTACTTGAATGTTCGGGACGCTTCTTTGCTAATTATATAAATAGGCACTGCAAGATGCGATCGGGGCAGAGTTGAACTCGGCGACACAAGCGAAGCTTCGGAGCGGAATTAAGTGAATTAGTGTGTTTAATTATTAGTGTTTTAAGTTTTAATTTGTGTAAAGTAAATTAAAGTGTTAATTTAGGTAATTTTATCGGCAACTTTTATTGTCACGAACCTCAAGCTCGTAACAATTGGTGTCAGAAGTGGGATAAAATCATGCCGATTTTACCTAAGGAAGAAACGGAGGGTGTAACGTACCCGCAGTCAACGCCAGCATGAGACGGACCAGCGGAGATTTGGTGGTACAACGGCGCAGATGTCGGAGGGCCAACTGCCAGCCACGGAGGCTGCGGGCCCGTCATTAGCTCCTACATCTGCAGCACCTGACTTAGGTGCTCTGATGTCGATGCTACAGGAGCAGCTGCAGCGCGGACGAGAGGAACAGGCCCGTCTGTTGAAAGAGCAGCAGGAGGAACAGGCTCGCCGACAGGAGGAACAGGCCCGCCGACAGGAGGAACAGGCCCGCCGACAGGAGAAACAGGTCCGTCGTTTGGAAGAGCAGCTGCGAGGCGGACAGGAGGAACAGGCCCGCCGGCAGAAGGAACAGGCCCGTCGTTTAGAAGAGCAACTCCAACGCGATAAGGAAGAGCAGATGCTCCTCATGAAGGACCTTCACGCTACCTTCGGAAAAGAGATACGGGAGGTGAAGGATAAGGTTGCTCAACATGACAACCGCCTGTCGGAAGCTGAAACCCGAATCGACCAAGTAAACAATCGGGTTGACAACGTAATGGCTGACGTGAAGAAAACGCTGGACGACCTCAAACTTGGGGATGGAACAACAGCTCCCGTAGTAGCTACAATACCTTCGCTACGTGGATTCAAAGTGCCGCCGTTCGACGGGACTTCTTCCTGGTCAGCCTACAAAATCCAGTTCGAAGCTGTTATGAAGGCGAACGGCTGGAATAAAAATCAGGCCATGACTGCTCTCACACTAGGCCTGCGCGACCAGGCCTTAACAGTTCTGGAAGCTCTCGGTAAGGAAGTGACTTATGAGCAACTCCTTGAGGCATTGGAGGTGAAATATGGCGACGCTCACCTGGAACACTTCTTTCATGCGCAGCTTAAAGATCGCGTGCAGCGCATCAACGAAAACCTGCAGCAGTGGGCTCTAGAGGTGGAGAAGCTGGTGCGAAAAGCATACCGGTCTGTACCTGCGCTCATTGAAGGGAACCTGGTGCAGACATTCATCGACGGCATCCGTGACCTGGAAGTCAGAGCTGCTGTGAGGCTCGGGCACCACGAGACGCTTAAGAACGCCTTGGCCCATGCACTGGAGGTGGAAGCCGTGCGGCAGGATCATCGTTCCCATCGCGTCAGGGAGGTTGCAGCAGCTACAGTCCGTGACCGCAGCAAAGGATACAGCCCTAGGTGCTATGGCTGTGGGGAAAAGGGCCATCTTCGATCCAGCTGCCCTAAACTAACCGTGGAAAGGAGAGTTGATCGATCTCGAGAGGGTAGTACAGCTAACGGCACTGCCTGGCGGCGACAGGATCATCGTTCACCTCACGCTAGGGAGGTTACAGCAGTTACGGTTCGCGACCACAATAAATGATACAGCCCTAGGTGCTATGGCTGTGGGAAAAGGGGCCATCTTCGGTCCAGCTGCCCTAACCACACCCTAGGAAGGGAAGGTGAACGGTCTCAGAAAGGAAGTGCGGCTAACAGCACCGCCCAGCAGCAGCAGGAATACGACTTTACTATCAGACACTGCAGCGGGAAATCTCACGGCAACGCAGATGCATTGACAAGAAGACCTTGTCCTGAAGATTGCAACCATTGTAGTAGGCAAGAGAGTAAGGAAGATGTATCCGTGAGGATGCTCAGGACGGACCACCTCAGCAACGAATGGAAGGACAGCTTACAACATGCACAGCAGGAAGATCCGGACATCAAGCCGATTCTGGAATGGATAAAGGCCAGTGCTCCCAAGCCTAAGTGGAGCGACGTCTCAGCAATGAGTTCAACCACTAAAAGCTATTGGGCCCAGTGGGACAGCTTGCTGCTTCAGGATGGAGTTCTGTGCCGTAAATGGGAAAATGTTCGGGGAGACAGCTGTCATTTACAAATGGTTGTCCCTAAAACTAAAGTACCGGATGTTCTACAGCTGTACCATAGTGATTATTCAGGAGGCCATCTGGGAGTTAAACGAACTCTACTGAAGATCCGAGAACGGTTTTACTGGGTCCACTGTCGAAACGATGTCGAGGACTGGTGTCGCAAATGTACAAGTTGTGCGGCTGTAAAGGGACCTCAGACTCGTAGTAGAGGTGCATTGAAGTTGTACAATGTGGGTGCACCATGGGAGAGAATAGCTATTGACGTGGCGGGGCCGTTTCCGGAGAGTGAAAGCGGTAACAAGTATTTCATGGTTGTGATGGATTACTTCACTAAGTGGCCAGAAGTCTTCGCCATTCCAAATCAAGAAGCTTCAACAGTTGTAGATAAACTAGTTCATGAAGTCTTCTGTCGTTTTGGAGTACCTTTAGAGATTCACAGCGATCAAGGAAGGAATTTTGAGTCTCAAATATTCCAGGAAACTTGCCGAGTTATGGGTACTCATAAAACAAGAACGACTTCTTATCACCCGCAATCTGATGGAATGGTGGAACGATTTAATCAGACATTGGAGAGGTACCTAGCAAAAGTTGTAGACAATCGGCAACGAGATTGGGACAAGCACATACAACCGTTTTTGTTGTCATATCGAAGTTCTGTTCACGAAAGTACAGCAGTGACACCAGCTTTCGCAAACTTTGGAAGAGAATTACGGCTGCCTGCAGACCTGATCACCGGGATACCACCTGATGCCCCACGCAGTATAACCGATTATGCAAATGACTTGCGGAACAAAATGAATGACATTTATGAGCACGTCAGACAATCGGGCCAGCAAATGTCTGAGAAAATGAAAACCCGGTACGACCGCAACATGAACAATAAAGG